ATAGCGGACAGGACGCAGTTTGGCGGAGACCAGTGCAAACGTTGGAATAAACAGTATATATTTCATAATATAGTAAATTAAATGCACATTCTTGTTTCCACGTAAATTTAAAATATGTCGCCAAACTTTGGGGCATGTGTTGCGAATAGCTCCAGAAAGGAAGGTTAAGCTATTGTTTCTTGCCCGGCCGAAGGAAGGCCCATATTCTTCACTGACCGTTTGGACATGGTGTTCCGAGGGATGGACTTTGATGGGTGACAGTGATCCACCTACCGATCGCTGGTGATGTTTCCGGTAAAGGCCAGTCAGCTGCAGGACATGCTGCAACAGCTCAAGATACACAGTGCGGAAGTCGGATTGCGAATCAGTCGGTCGAAGTGGAAGCTACTGCAATCAGATACCCTGCTGAAAGTCCATGTAATATTAATCTGCGAAAGGACAGAACAGGTCGTTAAATGCATCTGCCTCGGCAAAGAGAGCGACATGCGACATGGTCAGGCTGGAGAAATCCAACGCAGAAAGAGGGCTGTAATTCCGTTCCATTAAGGACGTCCTCTTCGACTCGAAATCCATGCTCCCTCTTCAATTCTACGGTTTTGTCGACAATGTCGTGTGGCTTTGAAATGCGATCACCCACTAAAGCCGTAAAGCGCCAACTCTCTGTCACGGGAAGTGCCATGGGAGGAAGATTTTTGGAATCTTAACGTCGTTACCACATCCTCAACAGAGTGATCAGACAGCGGGTGGGAGTGAAAGATGTCGTCATCCAAAGCAAAAGGAGAATCTGCGATTGGCCGAACTTGTGCATCGGCTCACCGACGGAAGAGGGTCGACGACTCTCGTTGTTGAGTCTACCCTCGCAGGAGGAATAGGCCGCTTGGTTGTCCAGCACGACGGTTTGAAGATAATTTCAAGAGCATGGAAAGCCGCTGGTTGAGGTTAAAGGTTCAAAACCGCGATGAATAACGGCGCGTTTTGCCACGATTCCTCATCAACTGCCGACAGGTCAAGGTGATCCAAGGGATGACTCTGTTTTGGACTCTAGATATTCTGGTTTGCAACCATCGAAAGATCACAGATGAAACGGAATTGCACTTAGTCATCATGCTAATGAGGAGAGTCTCATCAAAAACAAAATGACAGGCAACTGAGGGTTATGGCAAAGAGGTAGCAGCATGCGTGTAACCTGAGACTTTCGTTTCAGAGTCAAATTAAACCATGAAATTGTACGAAGCATCGCGATGTTGCTGTGCCCCTCCCCCCACAATAGTCTAAAGGAATCGCTTTCCGCAGAACTACGCATGAACAGATAACCGGATAAAAATTCAGGTATTAAAATTTCATTGAAACGGTCTGTTGCCTTTGTTCTGTGAAAATAATCATCACAACAACTCAGCGCCACCTTCAGTAAAATAACAAAATTGAGTTTCCTTGGTCTTCACCTAAAAGTAAGAGGAAACAACCATCTCACCTCAGAGCGAAATTTCTTACTGCTGTTTCAAAGCATGCCCGCCATCTTTCTTACAAGTTAGAAATATTCTGAAGCGAGATCAACGAAATGGCCACAGTAATATATGACTCCTAAACCGTGGTGTTAAAAGCACTGCGTTTGTTTAAGAAAATTAATATTTTGTGCCATCGCTTCCCTAATCACATCTAATCTTACATTTCTGAAGACCAACAGCTAAAAATTGTATATAATCTAACTCTGATGGGGTAGCTGCCGGAAATGACATGTTGCCAATGGCCGCGGCCTACCCTAACGGTCCCCCTAGGCGATTAGAAGCAAAGAGAGGGTGCAATTCCGCGGTGTAACCCGGTGTAATACAGTCGTTTTGATGCAGGCCGCTGATTGTCGTCAGTGTTCGGCTCTCTGGAGAGCTCAGTTGCATCAACTACTCGATTTAGCTCTTCATGTCATATAAAAGCGGGAAGTGTCCTCTCTGAGGGCAGTACGATCCTGATGTTAGAATTGTTAATTTGTGGTTACGATTCCATTGTGATTATCTTATTATTGTGATGTCACAATGGAACTGAAACAATGCAGAGCTCTCTGCAGGTATAATGCAATGCCATTGTGAAATCACAAATCCAGATTTTCATTTAGATTTTATGATTCCATCGCAATGACTGCATGAGGTTACTAAGTCACTGCGCGTTCATTTGATTGGGAGTGAAAGTTTACATAATTGCAGATGGACATCTGTGTCAGTCACGTGATTTTATCTTTCATGTTAAACATCAGTTTCAAAGTTGGCATTTTCATCTTACGATTTCAGTGATTTAATCGGCCCCTTAAGGTTATCATAATCAGTTGCGAGTTTAAAT